GGCCGTCGCCTCAGGGCGGGCCCGCCGTGAGGGGCGGCTGTGCGGGGGGCCCTCGCTGCTCCTCGTCCCCGCTCCGCTTCGCCCTGGGTCGGCCCCAACACCCGCCCCGGGGCCTGGTGCTTCGCAGCCCTCGCGCCTCCGCATCCCCAAAGGTGTTTCTCACCCGAAGCGCACGGGGATCCCTCTCCTCCCCCTGCGCCGGCCCGGAGCCCTCAGGCGGGGTGCAGCCGGGGCTGCCCGCTCCTCCCCGCCCTCTGGCAGGGCCTGCCGTCCCCCGAGAGAAACGCGGGCCGAGAGACCAGAAGGAGCAGCTTGGTCCGCACTGTGTAAAGAGGGCTGAGGAACGATCACAGATCTGTCTTCACCACAAAAAAAAAAAAATCTCCTGTTTTACTAGTCTCTGTCACTCTTTCTCTCTTCGAAATATTGGGCATTAGCTTAAATTTCAGAGTTGCTTCTGTAGCAATGGTAGAAGCAGGGGAAGCAGAAGGACTGGTTCATGGAGGTCCCTGCGGGCGTTACGCGGCTGTGGAGCGCCGCAAGAGCCCGACGCCGTGCTGCTGCCTGTGCTGGTGCTTGGAAGAAAACCTAATTAATCTTGACTAGAAACCTCACCCAAATACAGCGATTTCTGATGACATGCCTTTCCATGGATGCAGCTATATTGAAGCATGGGGGAATCTGTAGCCAATAAATGAACAATGCACCAATGTGGGAAACCGGCCTGGTTTTGGCCACAATAACTCCGTGCCTTCGATATTGTCACTCTGCCATGGGAATGCTGAACTAATTAGTTTAGCAGCCCCCACATCTACAGGTACTTGAAAATTTTTTTTTGCTTACATATTTTTTCCTTCTAACGGTGAACACCCACCTGTTTTTTCCAGAGCAGCATAACTGCTCTATACAGAATATGTCAGGAAGCCAAGCGGGCAATTGTCTGTGCTGTTTATTTTTATGTAAGTCTTTTATGTAGATGGGAGACTACACAAGCAAAATGGAGATATTAGTAAAGTAATCTGAAAGCGTTCAACAGCAATCAGTAGGACTTATTACTTGGAGGACAAGAGCTGTACATAGGTTCTATTGAAATCGCCTGTTCTTGACAGATTTTCTTAAGGGTGGAGAAAATAGTAAGACTTCTGATGAAAAACAGCTGAAATTATTGCCTTTAAACCGGGAACAATTGGTGCATGGAAGAAATGGGATAATTGATTTTTTATTTAAAAGATTTAAAAATTATATTGCACTAACAATGGGAATCCAGCAGCCTTGAAAAGAAGTTATTTCCAAGAATCATCTGCAACCATCCTATAAACTGGCTTTAAGTGGTATTTAAATAGCTTTTAATACAAGCATTATGTAGAAGTCTGCCTCAAAACGAGTTTGTCTCCACGTAACAGCTTCATGGCAAAAGGAGTAAGGGAAGGAGGGGTGGAGAGGGTACACAAAGGGAAGATATGGTTTTCATTGGCTTTTGATATGCAGGCAAATACGAAGTCAGAAATAGTGATAGAATCCAGTCTTCATACCCTGCAGGCTGCGTGGTCAGTTCTTTAATCTTTCTTGGGTTTATTAGGAGATGAGTACATGCCTAAGGGTGCCATGTGGGAGGGATATCGCCGGCTATAGGTTCTCCAGGAAGCTTTGGAGCCTTAGACAGAGCTGCGGTAGTGATGGACGGGCAGCCTAAATCAAATTACTCCTCTAGACTGAAACAATGCACTGCATACAGGCAGATCCTCTGCCCACCGCCAGGCTGCCCTGTGCCTGTGTTACTGGTGTGGCACTGGGGGGAGCTCAGGACCCGCCTGCCCCGGCATTCTGAGCAGCTGCTGGGGGTTGTTGCCTCCTCACCTGCTGGTAGAGTCTTCCTCCACAGGCCATCATGGAGCAGTAGCACATTTCCAAGAGGCTCACCTAGGACACGCCTGCCCAAGGGTTTTGGCTCCATAGAAAAAACTCTTCCTCTGAACTCGATGGAAGTACACAGTCTTTGCCAGTGGCTGGAGATGAAAATAAGAGTGAGTTTCCATCTCTCTTGGTCATTTCTTCCTCTGTTCATTTCCATCTCCTCACTGCTGCCCCAGCACTACTGTTCCAGTCCTTTATTTCAATATCTCAAACTTTTAAAGTCCTTGTGCTACTAGACAATTTACCTTCTTCACAGAGCCCTCAGTGCCCCAAATTTTCTTAGTTTGAAGAGGCATTC